TCAAGTAGAAACAGTCAAAATATTTTATCAGATTTTCTCAATTTTTGCATGATATTTTCATACAGGACATCTGTTGTTCAAACTCAGGGAAGACTTCATACTGATGAATAAGGTGACCAAGTTTGATAAAGTTTGGAATAGAATTAGTAAAGTTATTATGCACACAATAACAATTATTGACGACGACGACGACGACGACAACGCCGGACAAAATTTTTCCCTTAATATACCTTTCCCTTCCATCTTTGATGGTACGGGCAAGGTAAAAAAAACTGATGTATGGTTCTTGAGATATTAGTGGAACGGACGGACGGACGGACACACACACACACACAGAGACAGGGTAACTGCAAAGACTCCCATTGTGTGCTTTGCACACAAGAGAAAAAAACACAAGATAATAGGTCAAATAGCATACATTTATGCTAATAACATGTAAATAGCAAGAAATGAATCATCCTTGCACCTGGTCATTGCATGTGTAGTTCAGTAGATCCTTTCAGCTTGAATATAAAACAACCATTTCTTACATTAGGAGAATGAAGTTAGTGCCAACAGAGAGGGCGTGTTGTCATTTAGTGAGGTGAGGTGTGGCGTGGCGTGGCGTGGATATGGCAAGTTGCCATCACAGATTGAGTCAGATACACTTTGCAAAGTACCATAGAAGCTCACAAGCCAAAAATTGCATTCATTAAAATATGACAAACGACTTGCTTTGATCAAAGACATTTATGCAATGCCATACGGTTCTTATACTGATAATACGCTAACTTGTCATTCAACTAGGAAAGTGATGCAACTTTGCTAGATTACCTGCAGACGGACACCGAGATCCTGAAGGACAATGAGAAGAGAACAATGCGACAACTATAGCATCAGGAAATGTAATCAGTATTATTTTATTGATATTAAACGGAACATAAATTCCAATCAGACGAAGGACTGAACTATCTATCATTAATATTAACATTGTTGAAATGATGCCATAATGAATTCTATTCACTACGTACTTACATACACAAATCTTGGCTGAAGACATGATTACCAGAACAAGCACATAACGGCGAATGCATTCACAAAAACTTACATGGGAAGAAAAGTGGCAAATATTTTGTGGGGGAAAATATATGGGCACAATTATCTAAAGCAGAGGGGTCGTCACCTATGCAAGCGATGATAACGCATGCTAAAAATGCACAGGCTCATGGATAGACGCTTGTTTGTAAACACACTATGGCCGTTTGGCGAATGAGCAGGTGACGACTCCCCCGCAGTCTAACAATGAACATATCTGTTAACCTAGAGAGCTTTTCATCATTGCTGTTCTAGGGTGCGTATTGCAAGGCAGGGATACACAACAGTGGGTGAAGCACACCTACCGCTAATTTCATTTAATTAATCAGAATCAATCTTCACATATACAACCTTAAGAAAAAGCTGGTGTGATAAATACTACAACAGTGTCAATTACTTTTTCATTTCAAGTATGTTACAAAAAAAAAAAAAATGAAGTGTGTTAAGTTTTGTGACTGGGGAATGTTCAGATACTCTTTCTTAGGCAATACACAGGATTAACAGCTGACAAAAATAGATAACCACAGTCTTGCTTGTAATTTTTTTGTAACAAGACACTGAATAACAAAAATAAAGAGTGAAAAAAAAGTCAGGAGGAAAGGAAAATAAAAATAAATTACTTTGTAAGTTCCCTTTTTTTTTTATTAAATCGGTACATGGAGTCAGTATTATTACCAACGTGGTAGAGTTCATCCAACAATAACAGAATTGTGCATTACAACAATAAGTACCATGCACGTCTGTGGACATGTGACAGACAAGAAAGATAGCACATTAGAAAACTGACAACACTAAACACAATAACATGTACTCTCCATCTTGCAGGTAAACTTTGGGGACCTGCGCTATTTCTTTATCAGCGTAAAGTTTGCTTTCACTTCCATATCAGTCTATTATTAAATGTTCAAACAGTAATCTCAAATTTAGATTAGTTTATAATCCATAATTACATGGTTTTATTTTATCAGTAACCAATTCAAAATAAAAAGAAAAATCTTAATATATCAAGTACCAGGTATAATTAGACAAGGGAATTCATTGGACAAAAACATGACCCCTGTCTTGTATAGAAAGAAAGGCGTTCTGTGTACAGACTTTGCATCCATTTTTTTTTCAACATAAATCCACCTTGCTCAAGATACTTTAAAATGCTTATCGTATTAAGAAGGAATTGTCTTGACAGTAACTGTTCATTCATGCGCACAATGACGTTTCACTGACATGAGGAAAGTCAACTTCTTTTTAAAGCTAACACTACGATACTGACGATATAGGGTTATGTGGCGATCCCATCTGGGTTAGCACTTTATCCAGCCATTGCAGCGGACCGGCCAAATGCACTTCAATCCAGCAAGGTGTGCTGGTCACATCTTGGCGATGATATTCGGCACCCCAACCTTTCACGAAACTCATGCGTATCGTGCACATTTTGGTCAGTTCGTAAACCGCTTCAAAACCGTGATTGACAGACTGGGAGAGGAGAGCGGCAAACTCCTGGTTGTTGAAGATCTTTAAACTGCAGCCCGGTGGAATTTTACAAACAGTTGTTGGATGGAAGCCATGAGTATAGTTACAGTTTCGACTTTGCACAAAGATACTGCTGTCACTCAAACATTCTGCATACACTTCACCTCCGACATAGTACAAATGAACCCCTGTAAATAGATAATAAGAATTTATTTTCACAGTACCATATGTGGTGTTAGTATCAAATGCACTTTTACTAATGACAGCTCCCTCTATGGCTAAATTATCTGCAGGATGCTATACATGTAATTTGGGAGTTTCTTTCAGAGATGAATCTTAATGGCACAAATACAGTGCTGATTATTGAAATCAAAGATCACACAGCATAATATACACACCTTTTCCAATGTGTCTTCTTGTATTTTCTATGGTAGAATTTCTATTGACGTTTGACAGCAATCCTAGGCAGAAGCGATCAGAATTGTTCGATGGGTCTGTAAAACCATCCACAATTAAACTAGTACTAGAGGCCTGGAACAGTTCACCAACTCTAGAATTCAATTCGTAATATGCTATGGAACACCAGTAGAGTGGTTCTTGGTAAGTCACTGGAGTTAAATCTAGGAACAACCCAAGGACATGTTATAGCTGAATCATGTCAAGAAAATAAATACAACAGAATGTAGGAAAACAGAACAAACAAACATAAGTTGGGAGAGATCACCACTCTGTGTGAGGTGAAAAACAATAAAACTGTGTGACCTCTCATGAAACAGGAATCACTTACAGGAGATGCATGCAAATTACACCAATTTGGGGGTAAGGTTTTGAAAACTAAGAAAACAAAATACATAATCGTCTGGGATCACACACCTGTTTGGCAGTAATGTTGAGTAAACTACCGTAAATTAATACAAGGGATTTATTGTGATCTTTAGCGCTATATATGACATTTTTCCTAACCAAAATTGTGAGGCATAATTTTTATGTATTTTTTCATACAATTTGTTAATTTTGAAACCAAGGTACATCATTTTTCAAATGCTTTTTTTAAATGAAATGAAAAAAGATGGGGGCGGTCGATCATCAAAATGGATTCACAGAAAATGTAAAGGTGTTTGATTAGAGGTGAAAGTTAATTGTCTGCGTTAAAATTGCAATAAGAAACAAAAACACAAACTGAAAATTGACATGGATGAACGTAAAACATTGTAGAACACGATACAAAAAACAAGCAACATACAAAGTGGCAATGTATATGAATTTATGAACAAATTACAACTGTATAGGATTTTGTACATTTCAAATTTCGCAATAAAAATATTTCTTAAAGGTTGAGGTCAGCATTAGTTACGAATGCCCTACGTTTTTCAGGTATCAGTTTTCATGATCGACTTTCCCCCTTATGCAGAGGTTTGTTTTTGAAGTGTGACAAATATTGATCTTGGCGAATTATGAAATCAAGCAGAAGCAGTTTTGCCTTGTAAGTATTGTCAAATGATTGGCCTTGTCAACATAGTGAACTACCACCTTTGTGAGGGTATTAAAAGTACAAGAATATCCAAATATGGCATAAATGCAATGTAACAGATTGTTGTTAACTGTCAAAGTTGAATTCTCCTTTTTTTTGGATTCCCAGCAAAATGAAAGGTAGTGAACACTTAAAAATGATAGTAGTGGAAAATAAAATACAAACCTGAAAATTTAACAGAAAACTATAGAGCATTTATTATCTATTACTGTCGTATTTGACCAACTTAGCGCAAATATCCACCCAAGCAATTGCTTCTTCCGTAATGACCCAAATATACTGAGCAAAAAGTGATGAAACCTGCTCAGTGAAGCATTGGTTTGTTTTGGACTACAAATGCAATCCATTGAAAGGTAACATGTTGCAGCAACCAACCAACCAACTTTAGTTTTTTTCTATTTGCTTATTCTTGTCATCAGAATTACTATAGTGGTGAACAGTTTGTGGCAATAATGAAATGCGCTGCAAATGTGCTAATACGTGATTGCTAGCAATAAACTAGGTAATAGTTATGGACTCCAAATCAGCATTGTCCATGGCAATGTGCCAATACTCATTACAATACCAAATTAACATTTGGATGAAGTCTCTTATTCACAAACTATTTTGTATCAATGTCACAAACTGATACGTGCCCAACCCTTCCCAGAATCGAGGTCACTAAATCGGTCAAATACGGTAAACAGAATACTAAAAAGAGCGTATTAAACTACAAGAATGATTGATTAATGTTAGTGATTCTGAGTATCTCATGAGAAGTCACATAAAAAGAAACTAACCAATACTGATACCGCTGCGTGTCACTAGAGACATTCCATCAGTGTTGGTAGTTATTTTTTGTAGAAGGATTGAGTTTGAATCGTCTTTCATGACCATTCCAGTCATCACAGGGCTATTTGGTCCTAGAGTATAAAGAAGTTAGGCATCACAAACATGGAATCACCATCTACTTATATACACATGCAATTACCTTACAAATGGCCACAAGGCTCAACATTCACAGAGGTCATTGACCTTGGATGCTTCAGTACCCTTTAGAATACTGTGGATTACTTTATTTTAGCCAGAATTATTAAGGAAACCTTAATTTAATGTTTTTGCTGATTTGAAAACAATCAATGAACCAAAAGTAAACAAACAGAAATTAAGTAATCTACAATAATCCTTTTAGCCACTTAGCAGTTTTCAGAAGGAAAAAAGTTCTTTTATGCACATCTTGTTAGCTTCGGGGAACAAGAATCCTTGGTTATGAGTGTGCCCTCTATAGTCAAGATTTTACATAACTTTTGTTCACATTAGTCATTATGATACAGATGTTATTCAAGTAAAGTACCAAGTATCCCGACAGATGCTAATGTTTAAAAAATCATATCACAATATAAGCCACTAATTTTGGTTTTTAAGTCAACAAATATATATACTGTACGAGAAAACTTGGCAATTTATTTAAAAGATATGGAATGTGTGCACAAGCTTGTAGGCAATGCATCTTGCATAGCAAGGTAGTAGTACACCAAGAGAAAGGGACACCAACATTCTGTCAACCCTTACAGGGGTTCTGAGATTTGTTCAGTTAGAAAAATAACTTGTAACTTTGCGAAACACACTTTTGCTTTGTTCTTGACTTGACTTGACAATGTCATTTGACTGATAGCACACTGTGTGAAATTCACTATTTTATGGGGAATGTCAACATGATGATTTACTAATCTACTATATGTATTCAATAACCATCATTCATTTATTTTACTGTATGTGATTCAAAAAAGTTAAAAGAAATCAAAATATTCTGTTCCTGTATTTTAACGAACTTATATCATTTTGAAAATCTGAGCTTTATCCTTATTTCTAGTATAATAACGTCATATTCAAGATTAGACAAAAACGCGAGTGTTTTGCAAAGACATCTTGCTTAACTGACTGTGTGAATAATTCTCAGAATCACTGTAATGTGCAACAAGCACAATGTACAACAATCAATGTCTTTAAAATATTTTTCTATGGAACACTAAATTATTCATATAGTTGTTTAAAAGACTATGAATATAAAATATAACATGCATACCACCACTATATCTCCCTACTAATGAATTACATGAGGACTTGTGCAAACTGTGACCTCACAATTCCAAAATATTGCATAACTAATTATGGGAGAGAACTTCCTATTGAATATAATGGTACAAATATTACCATGTTGGAAACTAAATTAAATGTCAAATTGGCAAATATTATTAGCAATAATTATTTAACATATCAATAATACAATTTTTTTCAGCCCATGTGACTTTTATTAAGTTCACACATCATGGGGTACAAATTCAAGCAGTTGTCATTTTGTAATCAAGTTCAGAAACTAAGAATGGAAAAGACTGATGTACAATACATGAAGTAATGCAGTGCAAGTACCAGGATGTATGACCATATTAGAATACAGCTGTGATTCAGCATTGAACAGAAAACTAAATAGGCATTTCATATTGTGACACATACCAGGAGACTGCTGTGGTCCTATTTGAGGCGTATTCGTTTCCATTGGCTGGTCTTGGCTCGGGTTTTGGTCCTCAGGTGACATGCTTGAATATGCCGGTGGAGGTGTTTCTGAAAATATAAACGTTGTACCAGTTAATATAAAGTAATACATAGTCCTCACAATGAAGTGAAAACTGTTTTACTATTATTTTGTTAAATAAAATAAAACAAGGTTATGGTACTAAATAAGACGTTTCCATTACCATTTCAAAGTTCATGTTCAATAGAAGTGCATATAAACCAAAAATCACATTTGTTGCTCAGTTAATCATTAAATCTAAACACAATGCCTACTGAAACCATTAAACAAGCAGCCTGTCGGCTGATATAGCTCCGCTGTTAGCAATGCACATGGCAATTAAAGAACAGAAGATATCATTAGAAAATGAACAAATCTGAGAGAGGTCCACATGTAGTACCTATATGTATAATATATCAAAGCAATTGGACTTGCGGTTTTCAACAAGAAGTCGAAAATATCACTTTTTACCAAAAATTACAAAAATATTCATCAAAATTAGAGAATTAAAGATATCATTATGAAATGAACAAATCTGAGAGAGGTCCACATGTAGTACCTATATATGTAATATCAAAGCAATTGGACTTGCGGTTTTCAACAAGAAGTCGAAAATATCACTTTTTACCAAAAATTACAAAAATATTCACCAAATTAGAGAATTAAAGATATCATTACAAAATGAACAAATCTGAGAGAGGTCCACATGTAGTACCTATATATGTAATATCAAAGCAATTGGACTTGCGGTTTTCAACAAGAAGTCGAAAATATCACTTTTTACCAAAAATTACAAAAATATTCACCAAAATTAGAGAATTAAAGATATCATTACAAAATGAACAAATCTGAGAGAGGTCCACATGTAGTACCTATATATGTAATATCAAAGCAATTGGACTTGCGGTTTTCAACAAGAAGTCGAAAATATCACTTTTTACCTAAAAATGACAAAAATATTCACCAAAATTAGGGAATTGAAGATATGATCATGAAATGAACAAATCTGAGAGAGGTCTACCCAAGGTACATATACACCAAGTATCAAAGCATTCAGGCTTGTAGTTTCCAAGAAGTCGAAAAAGTAAAACATTGACACGGACGACGACGACGGACAATCACTCATATGATAAGCTCCGCTCGACAAAGTCGACAGCGGAGCTAAAAAAGTCATTGCCAATAATTGCCAATGACATAATCCCAGTCATATTTTTAGTGACTTTGTCAAACAATGAAAAACCTAGTCAGATTATGTTACGAATATTGGGATAGTATTCAGCATATTAACTACAAATGTGCATGAAAGTTCGAATGAAATTGGTTAAGGCATGCCCATGTTGATTTTTTGAACAATTAATGGCTGTCAGTTGAAGGTCAACAAAATAAAACAAAGCGATATTGTATATCAAATTACAAAAGAAAATAACGTGCATCTGTAACCCACTATGGGCGATCTTCTTAGCAAGTTAGAATGTAAACGACACGGGCCTGCCTGAAAAACAGTGGAAGACATGTTTAAATTTTGCAATTGTATTCGTTTTTCATATAAATGGCCGCCATTCACTAAATTTCATTGAAATCGTATCTTGCCTTTGTACCAAATTTAAACCCAGTACGTACAATCATCTCTAAAAATCAGCAGAAGATAAGAGAGATTTTGAATGTTAACCGAAAAACAAAATTATTTACATCAAGGTCCCATAATGTCTAATGTATATATCAAGTTGTGTAAAATGTGTAATGTATATACCAATTTTGAACAAAATCCATCTGTAAACAGCCGGGAAATGCTTGATTATTATAATTTTTTTAGCACAAAAATGACCGCCACTCAGCCATCGAGAAACAGATCGTAAAACAAAATAATGTGCATCGAGGTCCTATAATGTCCAACGTATATACAAGGTTTGAACAAAATCCATCTGTAAACAGCCGGGAAATGCTTGATTTTGATGATTTTTTCGCACAAAATGGCCACCATTCGGCCATTTTTAATAGGATTGTCAAACCGATATATCTGTATATCTATGACATGATCTATAATGAATATTTAAAATTTGAACATAATCAGTCAAAGCAAGTCAGAGATATGGCACTAGAACCACATTATTAAAACAAAATGACCGCCAGTCGTCCATTTTGAATCTTATCTGAAAAACAAAATGATGTGCATCAACGTCCTATAATGTGTAACATATATACCAATTTTGAACAAAACAGCTGAAAATGCTTGATTTTGGTGATTTTTAGCACAAAAATGGCCGCCATTCGGCTATCTTGAATCAGATCGTGAAACAAATTTATGTGCATATGTATAATATTATGTATGATGTACGTGTGAAGTTTGATTGTGATTGGTCCAGGCATTTCTAAGATACAGGTCCGGACAGACGAACGCACGGAAGTCAAAATATAAGTCCTCGTTACGGACTGCGTCCAATGACATTGACGTGCATCAGTAACCCACTATGCCAAGTTTGAATGAAATTAGCCAAGGCATGTCCAAGAAACGGTTGATGACATGTTTTTTGGGGACAAAAATAGCTGTCAGTTGGTCAAAGATCAACCAAATGGAAAATAAATTAATGTGCACATTTCTCCCATTATGAATTGACCACGCGTCTGAGAAATGATGGACGTATGTACAGAACCCAAAACATAAGTCACTGTTTCGAACTACATCTGACGGGGACTAATTATACCATGATTAATATACCCATTCATATCCGCTATCCATGTCAGTTAACACTCAAACAAATTTAGAAATTCAAGGTTTCAGACAACATCAGTGTTCTCCCCAGCATTCAATTTGTGTGCGGGGCCGCCACGCTGCTTTTCCTGCCCGCCACTGTGGTCTTGAGCCGCCACGGTGATTAGTAAGACCGCCACACTGCTTTTTTCATTGTTCATCCTGTGAACTGTATTACGAAATATAGAAAGAAATACGTAGCTATCAGGGATCTTGCCACGCTTCTGACCAGGACTATTGTCCGACGTACCAACCGACACGCATCCTGCCAGTCGTGGATTATAATTTGTAAACAATAGACGTAGTCGCAGGACGTGGTAGTGGCTTATAAACAATACAAGTTAATTTTGTAAAATTAGCACCTCTTTGTTCGTAAGTAAATAATTTAACGATCGACGCAGTCTTTAGATTGAAAGATAACATTTTTTCAAAATCAATTCCACCCCGATATAACATGGGCAAAGCGGAGTTCACGATCTGTTTACGCTACTCAAGAAAAAAACAACGTATTTATTGCGTGATTGGGTAAAATACATTTGAACTTTTATCATCACAAATCATGTAAAAACTCTTCTTTCAAGACTTCTTTTACCTTTTAAAAATTGTTTATCACCTATTTCGAAAACCATCATGCAGTTTTCATCTGAAATCCATACCAACACATCGTGCTACGACATCGCTTTACTTCCGCAATGTAATTTTTATGATCACTACCATTCGGAAAACTTCGGGTTCTGCCGGCATTACCATGCGGTATTCTGATTGGTTAATGGCGTTTTTGACCCATCGGGTCAAAGGACACATGCCGGTCAACTAATACGTCACAATTATCATGGCGGTCTTTGTTTTTCAACGAAGCGATCGAGTGATCAAAAATAATTGCTCAAATTTTACGTTTATTTCATATAAAAAAATAAGTAACATTTTTTCATGACATGACTGAGTATGAGGAATTATTGATATAACCAGTGTATAACATCGCGAAGTAAGTTAAGTCATGTCGTAACTTTGATGATCGTTTGGAAGTTTTGTTCGTTCATTACTGTAAAATGTAAACGTTGTAGAAGCTGATGGTACAAATAATGAACAATTTTTTGAAGGAGAATGTTTTTGTAGTAAATAAGATCATGGAAGTCGAGAACATATTCCTGGCTGAAACGTTTCAATCGCGTTTCATTTAGCCTTTTACAATTTGTTTGTTTGTTTGATTTTAATAGTCTGCAGCATTTCCATTTCGATTTGACAATTTTTCATTTTTAAATTCAACTCTTCTAATTATGAAACGTAATATTTTGACTCCAATAGAAAAATATTTGCACTGTGACTGAGCTCATTAATATCCCAAAAGAATAGTGTTTATAACACTGTATGAAACAAATAAATATGTGCCACATTGTTTTTGAAAATATTATGTTGTTTGTTATGTGGATGTAAATATGCTTTGGTCAATCTCTATTATTATGTAAATGATATGCAAATGATATGCAAATTAGTCCGCCACAGTGGTTTAAATTCCTGGGGAGAACACTGAACATCCTGAATCAGGAACATTGTGAATCAGGCACAAAAGAAATGCGGACAACCAACGATACACACTTCTAAGAACTAAATTGACACAAAATCTGAGGTTGTTCTTAAAGGCAGCAGAAGATTTGTAGACCAAGGTAACTTACCGGGCATGTCAAAAGGCTTCCTGGCTGTGTACTGAGCTGGTGATGGCTGTGGGTGTGCTGACGATTGAGACGAACCTCCTCCTCCACTCCCCGGTGGCATAGGTGGATTCTGGAAACTCTGGGGATAAGTTGCATTATGCGGGTACGCAGGTTCTGGTACATTACGAAATGGAAGTAGACTATGGGATGGTATACCTTCACTATGTCTTGGTACCAGTACTGGTGGTAATACTATAATGCAAAAGGAAGAACAATTACACTATAAATATAGACTGGCCTGGCAGCATAGCCAGAAAATACAAACTTAAATCCACACGGAAATAACAAAAGCCAGACATTTAGATACAGATTATATACACAATTAGATAAAAGCAATCAGCAAGATGGAATCTCTGTACAAGACAACTTTAACAATCGCATTTCATTGTAACCTAGGGCAAAACTAAGATGGTAAAAAACTGTTGGGGGTTTGGAAGCAATGCACTGCAAGATAGATACAATAATAGTATAGTGTTAATGTTGGATTACATATGCAGACAAGTGTAGGATGGGAGCATGTGTTTATGAAGTGTAATTCATCATGGCATTAATTCTATGAAGCATACATTAGTCATATAATTAATTAAATTAAAAGTCAGCTTCATGAATTGCAAATCTACTGCACGCTTCAGTCATTAAGCACCATTTAGTTTTCTATAATTCATTTCAGAAGTTTTAAATAAAAAATTAATGAATTAATTTTAATAATGTTAACACACGAACTAACGGAAATTCACAGACAGACATCGCAGAATGAACAATACAATTTGGAGGCGCTGTGAACGATCAAAAATGGTGAGTAAGATAAATTAAGTGACGTGACCACAATGCTAGCCATAACCTTTGCATGTTATTCACACCAACTTGTTCAGATCCTATTATGATAAACTAACCTCATCAATATTTATGGATTTTATGGAGTGCAGGGCAAAGAATATTATCCTTTTCATTGCAAATAACATTTTAACAAGCCATGCATGGCACAGTCCCCGTTAGTTATCAAATTTAAGATATATAGTTTTGTTTATAGTAATATAGCTGGAATATAACCATGACAGGAATATGATTTTTTAACATTAAAATGATCGACGGTTGTATCTGATTGTCAAACAAGTACTTGTCCATATTGAGAGATATTGCTCTGGAACAGCATTCAAAATCAGCCACTTTGATTACATGTATATATATAACGTATAACGAATATATAAAATTTAAATATAATAAGTCAAAGCATTTAAGAGATATGGCTCTAGAAGCCCAATCATTAAAACAAAATGGCCGCCAGTCAGGCATTTTGAATCCAATCTGAAAAATAAAATGACGAGCATCAGGAACCCGTAATGTCTAATATATGTACCAAGTTTGAACGAAATCCATCCATAAATGCCAGAAATGCTTGATATTTGATGATTGTTTAGCACAAAAAAGGCCACCATTTGGCCATTTTGAATAGGATCGTCAAACGAATATATCTGTTTATCTATGACAT